CATACATATGTATGTATATACTTTGTTTACATTGCACTTTTCTACTGAATGTTTTTCAAAAAGACAAAACCTAGACAATGCATGACGTTAGAAAATACGATAAATACAAAAATATATTAAAAGTAACAATAGATATAATAACAGTAATAGTAGATAAGAAATGTCCTTCATTCAGCTAATTATTATCACAATTCTACAAAAAATATTTAGAATAATAGAAAAATTAAAAAAAGGCACTAGAAACCGGTTTTAGCTGCACTGTGTGAGGCAAGAAAAAGGCAATTCACATTAAAGCTTCAAAAAACGAAATCAGTTACATTTGATTACATCCCTGGTATATATGATTAAAATATACTGAGTCGTTATTGTGTTTTGTATTACTCTTCTTTTTGTCTTGCATGAATTGACATCTGCATCTATTGTGAGGCTGTGATTGGGTGTGTTGGCGTTTGGGTTGGAAAGTGGGGGAGTTATTGTTATCATTATCTTGCCTGTACGTCTGTTATATACTATTCAAATATATACAGTATGTCTAAAAATAACTTTCAAACATGAAATAAATACACATCAAAACAACCTGCAAAACAAAAAAACAAAAGTGTAAAAGTGTTTTAAGTTCCTACAACCAGCAGGTGTCACTGCATACACAGTAAAAAAAAAAAAGGTTCTTCACAGGCAAGGAATATGCTATATTAATATGTGGCTGACAGTTCTGAGGGTTTAGTGAAAGTGATGGTGATTAATCCTCTATTGTAAGAAAAGCTCTTTCCTTAAAGTATGTTTCAGATCAATGTGGTAGTGCGCTCCAGGATTCCGGTTGTTGTGTTCAAAGATGGCTCCATTCACCTCGGTATGAACATCAACCAGATGTGTTTTCCTGTCAGAACACAAACATCTGTTTAGTCTTCAGGCGTACATGAGAACCGTCTGATGCTAAAGTATTAAAGAGTGTTTGCCTGTACCTCCTTTGACCTTTGTGCAAAGTGTCTGTCAGAGCCTTCAGGTAAATGGAGCGATGGTGTCCTTGCTCCAGTTGACATTCATCTGTCCAGCAGTGACTCCAGAACACATCTGCATCTGTAGGGATGAAAGCACATCTGGACAGCCCATCACACCCGTCTGTCTCCAGATCCTCATCCCGGTGCTCCGTCCTGGCACGGGGCGGAATCTCTGGGATGCTGTACCTCTGGATGAAGAAGAGTTTGGGCTTGCCAGCCAGCATGCGGCATTCATCAGCATTGAAAAGACGTCTGACATCGTTCAGATGTAGACCTGCGGCGTACACGTCTGTACCCAGGAGACGGTTCGCCGTACCGCGGCTAATGATGCAGCAGACAAAGCAGTCGCATTCAAGGTTCTCTCTCTGTCCGAATATCCCTCTAAGAACTGAGAGAGTGTCGGCCACACACAGCCATTTGTGGAGGACCACGTTGAAGTGAAGAGCCTTAAATGTCTGTTCCAACATGTCTGAGTGAGTAAAGGAGAGGTGAAACACAATTTAACTTTTTTTCTTGATAACAAGTCTCTCAAAAGATAGATGAAAAAAAAACGCTATCAGACCAGGGCTGCTACAGAGGCAACCCAAAGATATTCAGTTTACTGTATGACATGAAACACCACTCAAATTAAGAGTCAGAACATTTGATTCATTGATTGCTGTCAGTCTTTAATGAGCATTTCAAAAACCAACACTACCTTTCAGCATTGCATGACCCGTAAGCTTTATCTTGTGACCCTATAGAAGGGCCGACCCCCGGTTTAAAACTAATCTAGTAAATAAAGTAGTTGAAAGTAACTTTATGTACCTTTTGGTGATGATACTTTAGTATTTTTACTTCAGCAGGCTTTTAAATGCATGCCTTTCACTTGTAATGGAGTTATTTTACATTGGTATTGGTACTTTTGAATATGTATTCCAGCACTGGACTTATAGGTACAAAGTGTTTTGTGTCTCACCTCCGTCATTACCCACGCAGTCTATGATAACACACACTCCTCTGGGATTAGTGTTAAATCTGTAACAATCGAGTTGACTCTGTAATGCAAAGGAGCATGCAAACAAGTTTCATAAATGCACTTTACTAATTAAACACACTCATACATATAGGGAAAAAACCTGCACCAATAATGAGTGAAGACCTCACCTGCTCTCTGTATACAGGCACTGGTATGTTTTCTGTGGTTGGTGACAAAGATTAATACGGTGTTATGAATATCAAAGTGAAATACAATGAGAGACAAGAGGCGTTTTCCTTTATCTCTGGCAATTACACATCTTTTGAAGTTGCTGTCATTTGCAGGCTGTCTTACCGATGTGGGGGGGCTGTGCTTGTCTTGTTTGCTGCAGAGAATGGGAACCATTTGGAGTGGGGAATGGACACTAAAGAGAAGACGTTTTTTTTCAAAAGTATTAGTTGTATAATAGAGAGAAAATGTCAAATGTTGACTAAGTTTCGTACACTACTTACAGGAGCTCTGTGTCTTTGCTGTAGAGATGAATGTCCTCCAGATGTTACAACTGTGAAAGGTTTGGACAGAAACACAAGTGAATAAAAACACAGAATAAAGTATGATTCAAAGTACTTTGTGATTGGTCTTTCACATAAATCCACTTTTTAGAAAGCCAAAAGCCAAAACGTTTAACATTTGGTTTGATAAATACAAAGTTTAGTTCTGAAAATTATGTCAAATTGAATGTGTCCGAAAGAAAAATATATCTGTGAGTCCAACTGAGGTAAGTTAACAGTATTATGTGAACTAGATGTTACGCTGGTATCAATGAACAAGATAAGCTTTGTCTGCCTTGGGTTAAATGAAACAGAGCATGAGATGCATTTTGTTTTATGCTATACTATATGTAATAAATACATTTTTTTTTTACTTTTGCATTGTCAGAATACAGTCTGGAGAATGTATGTTCAGCTTTTATATTCAGTTTCTGTTCTGTGTAAAACATGGTTTTACTTTCTGTGGTTTAGGAACTATATATTTTCTTTGGCACTTCCAAGAAGTCTGTTTTTCTTCTTCATAAGCACCATGGGCCATTTCAGTGGTATGAGAGACACACAAATATTCATTTTCAGTTCTAGTTTTCAGCATTTTCCTGTTTCAACAATGTGTAAACGTTCCACACTTCACATGAAACACACAGTATAAACGTTACAACACAGCTTTCCTTCTCACATTTTGTCAAGATGGATTTTCTTGTTCCCAAATCACAAACTCTTTACAAAATTTAAAAGGGACAGTCTCACCTGACATCTTGTATGCACTAACTTTTTTGGCGAGGTCGACCCTGTCAATGTTTTTAAAACATTCTTCTACAAAGTCGACTCTTTCAGGTGAAACTATATCCAGCTTCTCTAGTTCAATGATCACATCCAGGAAACTCTGTCAACGGAAAGAGGGGGAAGTTGATTCACTCTGTTTGAATGACTGTCGTATGCATATTTGACCTTTTTCTGTAAAATGATGACCCACCAAATCTCCCCTAGCACACTCACAAGAATGTGAAATTCAGTAAGTGAAAACAAAACGTCATTCATTGTCACCTGTGCTTTTTCCATCTTCTCACGGGGCAATGTCCTGCCCAACAAGAACTTCACACTGTTCAGATCTTCACTGTCCATTTCCTCATTTATATTAGCCATCAATACTCTACAGGGAGGGAAATCACGTTTACGTTATCCAATTGGAATGTATCATTCATGACTTTACACACCTAGATAAGGTATACACCTCTCACCTGAATCTTGGCAGAACCCTTCTTTGTTTCAGGGCATTTTCCACCTCGTCCCTGCTGGTTTTAAACACCTTCCTCAGGATATCGAAACGACTCAATTGTAGCATCAGCTCCGTCAGAAACAGGAGACCCATCTCGTGGCACATCACTTTAGATTTCAGCATGTCCTTCACACACGCTACGCTGTTGTCCGTGTCCAGGATGTCACACAGGTAGAAGAGCCTCCTGCGTTCACAGCTGCTCAGAGCCTCTGCTGTCTGATTGATGGCCTGATGATGAAGTTGGTCCGGCAGAGCCATTGTCTTTTGTGGAAGAAGAACGAGGGCTGGTGATGTTTAACAGCAACGAAGACCGATATAGTGATCAAATAATAGCAATTCGCCAACCGGGACCGGAACGCCTTAAACTGGAGAAGATTAAATACAGGGTTAGTTCCGAATAAACCATTATTAAAATATAATAATCTGAAAAGATCATTGAACGACATACCTCATACCGTCGAAATCTGTCGATAGACGAACAACCAAAAAGAGGAATTTGAAGTAGGCCTATGACGGAAACCACAATGGAAGACTGACGCACTTAAAACGCTTCTGGGGAAGTACCCTACTTTATTGTAGACCTTAAATAGAAATACCCCTTTACCTTGATACTTGCGCCGAGTTACTGAAAACCATCGATTCATCTGCACTCCTGATTACGCGATAGGTGCACGATAATACCGTAATTATTGTAGATGTTTGAAAAACGCCACAAGCGACAAAGACAACATATTGAAAGTGAAAGTAAAAAAAAGGCGGCTCTGCTTTGATAATAAAAAACTTAAAGGCACATGCTGCGCTGCAGAACAAAATCCATTTAATGAAAATGTATTAACACTTAAAACTACAGACTTGATGGATTACTAACTTATTAAGATGTATAACTGCAGATACGGTGGTTTACCGAAGAGTGAGAAACCCATCAACATTTATGAATGAATTTATAATATTTATAACTTTATTACCAAATAGAAACGATAAACACCAGCAGTGGGATTTTTCACAACCCGGCAACCCAATATTTGTTCGTATTAATGGATTATTAATGATCTGTACAGTATTAGTAAACCATAAATAAACCCGTTGGATTCAGTTAACCTTTATAAAGGGTGCCATATTAGAAAGTGGCACAAAATATGGCATAAAATACCACAGAGATAATCAAAATAATATATAATAAAAGTAATATTTAAAGCAGGCTATTTTGTAGTCTGTATTTACAAATTACAATGGCCTCTGTAATCAAATTATGTTTAGTGGGGGAACAAATAAGTGATTTGTTATGTAAAAAAAAGGTTAAGATAACAAATATTATGATTATTAATCTTTTTAACACCGAAGCAATGCGCTTGAACTCTGATGCTAAGTTTTCCAATAACTTTGAAGGCACCACTTCTGCTAGCCCCCCCCTGCAGGTCGCGTGAGCTTTCTGCTTACCAATACCAAAGCGCACCGAGTTCCGCTCACTCTGGCCAATCGTGTGGCGCCGTGGTTCAGCACCATTGCGGTGTGGAGAGATCGTACGGAGGTGTAGCTCGCTGAGAGAGAGAGACAGAGAGAGAGAGAGGGGCCATTTAGAAAGAAAGAGACACTCGACCTGGGTGACCGCCCTGAGCAAACACCACCGATACAGTCATCGCGTGACATTGCCGTTAGCAGCTTCAAGTCCGCGTGAGTATTTCATTAACCTGGTTGGTTGGTAAAACAGTCAGAATTTTCCAGGTAGTCGCAGTCAAGGGAACATCCTCGGCACTGTTTGTGTTGGATGTAAACGAGGAGGCTTCAGTGCTAACGGGCTGCCCGGTGACAGCACAAGTGTCATTAACCGTCATAAGCCAAGGACCACAGAGCGGATGCTTTTTGTGTTGTAACCAGGCAGTCAGCCGGGTTTTTTTCGGCCTGGTCACGACTGGTGAGAAACGAGGATGAGGACGTCCACCAACGGCTGACTAGAACGGGCACGATAACGGCACGCGAGCCAAAAGCTAAGGTAGCTACCGTTGACGTACAGGTTCTGTCGTGGCACTTGGTGTAACAAACATTCGCTTGTGGGCAGTTTACTATCTGAAAAAAACAACAGAGCTGCGTAGAAACACCCGGTTAATACGTTAGCTAGCTACCGTAACAGTGTTAATTAAAGGTAAAACGGCACGTTGGCATTTAATGTCAGTAAGCCTGCACATTTTATCCTGAAATATCTACAGGAAATATCTACATAATTTCCACTGTGGCTCTTGGAAGTTGAACTCTTTCAAAAACGTTGGATTTATTTTGAAACTTATGAGCGGAAAGCTCAATTTTACAGGCTTGTAGGTTATGAATGTATAACGTTTTGGTGCAAAAAGCAGCACAAACGTTCATTTAGCTAGTACTTCTTCATCATACTTCAATATATGTGAGTTTGCAGCAGTACCATGTAAATTAAATGACCTCCACATCCCTATAAGTGTGTAACGTTACATATAACATGCACAACTGAGATGTGTTAATTCACTAAATATAGAGGAGAATGCACAGTGCATGGTCTGTTTAGTGCTGTTTTACTTATGCCAAGTTGCTGACTTGTTGATCCTTTGCTGTGGACATGTTGGTGTTTTTATGAAACAACATTGTTCATTTACATGAATGCTGCTTGCTGTGATTTTGGTCGTGATAAGTAAACTACTCTTCAAATAATGGCGTCATCATGGGCAAAGATATAGCGATAATTCTGTGCCATCTGCTGCTCACCCTCAAACATCATCATCATCCTCTTCCTCTGTTTCTGGTGTGTTTTGAGAATAGGCTGTCATCAGAGCTGTGGCCTATTTTAGATAGAAACTCCATTTACCCACTTTAATCTTTGTTTCTTTCTCCAGGAGGTTGAGATTCTTCTATTGCTCAAGTGTGACAAATGGTAGATTATTCAGCAAAGTGTTCTTCGACGAGCAGAAGGCCCTAAAATGTATCGGATCATATTGTTAGTTAGTATACTGTACTGCATAAAACTCTTAAGCTTGCCTACACATTTCAAAGGGGATTCACCAGAAGCTGAGGTGATTTCTTATGAACTTTGAGTGGACCAATAATGCACAACATTGTCGTTTTCTGCAGCAGATGTGAGCTTATTGAGACGGCTCTAAAGCAAACCAAATCTAACCGAAAAGTGTATTAATCCCCAGAGTGTGTTACCTCCCTCCCACCTATAGTGATGCACACGCCTCGGGGATCAAAGCTGTAATTAGCTTGCCATGGATTAGCAGTGGGGACTATTTTCCACTGTACTCTCTCCCACAGAGCCAGAGGATCACACAGCCAGCCTACCGTCCTTCCTCTTCTTCCAGTAGAGAGAACAGCTGAATTTCCCTGTTTGTTGTTGAGACACATCAATATTCTGCCCCTGGAGAAGTTTGGGCAATCGGGCCTTTCTTAAGTTGATTGCAGTACTAATAAGTCTCACCAGCGGGGTCGTTCTAGTCGGTCTTGGGAATCAGCTGGATGTGTGGTGTGCATGCAGAGAGAGAGCTGTGGTGCTGCTGACTCACCGCACACTGCCAGGTATGAGGTCTGTCTGTTAGCTGTCTGTCTGCATGACGTACAGTACGTCTCTCTGTAAGCCAGACACGAGTTCACACTGTTCCTCTAAGGGCTCCACAGAGGTGGAGCAGCATAATATGTTGTACTCTCTCCTGTTTGTGAATGAATCAATGCTTTCAAAACTGATTGCGACGAGGTTTGGGAATCCCAGGATTATATTGCCCAGGCTAATGACGGTATTACCATACGGGCAATTCTGCTAAATACAGTGCGCGTCCGAAGAGTGAATGCTTGTGTTTAGGCCTGCAGCAAAAAACACTGTTTCCTTTCTCAATTAAGTTGCAGATTATTTTGTCGATGAATTGATTAGGCTGTAAAATTGAAAATAGTAAAAAAAAAAAAAATGCCCGTTGCACATTCAAAGGTGATGGATTGAAGTTGCTTGCATAGCATTAAATCCTCACATTTAAGGAACCGGAATGAATAAAGTAATTAATCAATTATGAAATAGATGCCGATGATTTTCTGTTCAATCAGCTAATTCATCAATTAACAAATCCCTACAGCTCTAGTTGTGTTGCTGCTGAAGTTACAGGATTTAGTTGCTGCGTTATGATTCAGTTTTACAGAGTTTCAGAGAAAGTATAAGTTTGCAGCATCTAAAAATGTACGAACAAATCGGAACAAAAGTAGCATCAAATGTGTAGTAGAGGAAGTCAAATCTGACCACTTTCATTAGAATCCAGTGTTTACACTTCTGGTAACCAGATGATACTTCTTCAACAAACACAAACGGAGAGCTCGGATCAGAGGGCAGAGCACTGTTACAGGTGCCCATGCTGTGTAACTATTCTCCTTACAGTTTGTGGGATTATTGAGCAATACTTTTTGACTATAAGTAACCTTTTTGTGCAAGTTGGAAATGAATTATCCTGCTGTTGACCTGAACACAATCTTACAAAAGACTGAAAGGCGCCTGATCTTTCCCACTGTTGCACTGGATGCCGTGGAGAAGAAGCACAAGCTCCGTATCATAAATGTGGCAACATGGCCGGTTTGTTCAGGCCAAGATAACAGGTCATCATCCTCTCAGAGCCACTGTGCTCTGCTGGGCTTTGCCTCCCCATTGATCGGCTCTCTGCGCTCTCTGCTCAGCTTGCCGGTCACGACTCGGCACCCGACTGAAGTTGAACAGATGCCAGAGCCCGGTTGACTCCAGGAGCCTTTTGAATTACTGCCAGTTATTTGTTGTTATGATATGATGGGAAAGACATGGAAGGGAAGTGGGGGCTTCTGCTGGATCAAGCTGTCAGCCATGTTTACTGCAGAGTGAGGCACGTGTCAACAAAAGTGTTCCCTTACATTTATAATGCTGCTGGTGTGCTGAGCATTATTTGGTCATAATCTAGACAGTTAAAACTCAGTTAAAAGGAACCGTTTGCATTGCATAATTACATTTTATTTAGGTGTTTTAAGTGTTTTATTGGCAAGCTAAAGTGTGGCCAGGGCTCTATGGGTTCTACTTCTTTACTGTAATATTTCGCTCTGTCATTGTCCGGCTGGTGTAATCTCTGTGCGCCTGCTGCAGCCGGGTGGATGGAGCCAAAATGTAGCCCACATTAGTGTTGCTTTTCATTCTGGAGGAAACAATTTGATTTAACAACCGTTATGAGTCTCTGGGGTGGGAGAGGAAGTTGAGAGGCCAAGTTCTCCGGCTTGATTGTTCTTGCTATCCAGCGGTTTTGCAGCCCCCCACAATCTGAGGTGGTAGTCTAATAATGCACCCACTCTCCTCTACCCCCCCCCCCC